ACGGGATGTGGGGTATGTTTCCCGGGAGAGTTATTAGCATGGGAGTAGCCAGGCGCCTATAAGTAAAACATGATAAGATGCATATGCATAAGTCAAGGTGGTTGAGTCTTTTGTCTATTGGGATGTCGGATGCCTGAGGTCTGATCCTAGTGCTTTGGCTTGTTTGCTAGATGTATGGTAGGGGTATGCTCTGTTATGAACTCACGATGCTATGTTTATCTCACTCAGCTATGAGCTGACCCTCTTTTATTCTTCTTCTCTGCTTATGCTATGTGTAAGCAGATCATCAGTAGCAGCAGTAGATAAGTGTTAGGTGGGAGAGGAGCTAGAGTTGAAGCCAGGATGAGGTATGGTCTTCAACTATTCTGTGCTTGGACTACTACTCGGGATTTTGGCCAGTGATCCACACCTTTTTGTAAAATGTTTTGAGAACGTTTTTCATATGCATACTAGCTTCTGATGTAGTGTGAGATATCCACAGGTGTGGAAAGTTGATGATATGTGTATATTTGTGTAATTATGTAAGTTGTGACGATTATGGCATGTATCAGTATAGTATGCAGTTGTGTAACATGAAACTGTGACTATGGCTATGAAAAGCCAATGCATATGGTTGTGAGTATATATGTTTGTGATGAATTATTTTGCAGGATAAGTTGCAAGAACTGTTAGCCCATTACGCGAGTAATTCATGTCGAAATTTTATTTGGGTAAATTTTGATAATTAATGTAACACCCGAGATTATTTCCGCTGCAATTGTATGAACAATATGATTAGGTAATACGTATAGGGTAGGGTGTTACATGACTCTTCCTTTGCTTTAGAAAACCGAACCATTTCCTGCTTTCTTACTGCTTTTAGTTAAAACCACAATCAATCGACTTAGTTTGCTAGATAACAAATGTACACGGAGTAGGCAGTAGATCTAGACCCCGGGTTGACAATTAGAGCTTGCCTGTTACTGCATTTCCGGACTGCGATTACACTTGGTCGCAGTTTAGTGTTGTGTTTTAGCGTGTCAATAGGGTTAATTGAGAGACATATTAAAAAAAAAGCTAAGTCTAGAGGAGGATAATTTGTTGTGTAAGCCTATTATGGATGAAGAAATAAAGCAAGTTGTTTTCTCTATGGATCCTTCAAAGAGTCCGGGACCTGATGGCTGGACAGTAGGTTTTCCCCCCAGAAAAGCTAGGGTGTGATTGGGAAATCAATCATATCTGGGGTTAAGGGTTTACATAATTCAAACTCTTTCCATGTGATGTGGACTCAGCCAGATTAAGAGTTGATAACTAGATTTGAAGAGATAAATGCAATGAGGTCCCGGAGGGCGTGTTCTAACGGAGTGGTTACCATGGTAACCATTTCATCCAATAGTATTTAAATAATTTGGTTTGGTAAATATAAATAATTGGTTTGACTAAGTTTTTTAGCTTGTTTGGTGTAGGTGGTTTGATTTGGTTTCAAACATGGCTAGTCAATCAAACTAATTAACCAATTAAAGAATTAGCCATATATTAAATATATTATGTATCACAAACTTAGGGGTAATTTGGTTTCTGTGATTGCTTCAATGCTTGTATTGTTTACAATTGATTGTTTTTTGTTTTTATGCATAGACAATACATGTATTGTTTACTTGATGTGACAGAAACAATTATCTATTATGATTGATTGCATAATCTGAGTTTTTAGCTGAGATTGTTGAAATTGTCTAGTTGAGATTGTTTTCTTCCAACTTTAACATTAAAACTATCTTTTGTACGGAAAAGAAGGGGTACAAGTGACATTTCCATTGAAAAAGTGACTCTTCTTTTTTACTTATTGAATACACAAACACAAATGTCAAACGATGTGATCTACAATACATCAAATTCAACAATACATGTATAATATAATTCATGTGTTGATGACAAAACACTGATTTAACAATCGGAGAAACCAAACGATCCCTTAATATTTTTTATAAACACTCAAGATTTAAGTGTTACTCCTTTTGGAGCCATAAAAATAAAGCTCATATATGTTCTTATACTAGATTTGTGCTTGTGGAGTATAGACAACAATATATGATATCCTAATTTAGTTAAAAACTCATATATTATTCGTAACATTCGTAACATTGATGTAAATGTTTTTACCCAAATGCTGACAACAAGCCGGATCAAAAGCTAGTTACATTTTAATGATGGAAAATGAGGCCCGCATTTGCTAATCGCTGCCATATACTTAGGGGTTGTTTGGAGAAAAGGATTTTGGCCGTGTATTTATTGAATCCATAGATTTTATAGAAAGTTATGTTTTCTTGTTTTTTTTTTGTATTGTGGATTTTAGATTTAGAGATTTCAAATCTCTAAAATCTAAGGATATCATGTCTCATAATCATAAAGATTCTATATATTGATTCGTGAGATTTTTTATCTGACTTTATTCGTTCATTTTTTTATTTAGCTCATTAAATATATATATATATCAATAAATTCTCTATTTTTCTCAAACCACTATAAATTTTTTATTAAAAATAAATATTTCATTTTATATAAAATTATAATTTTTAGTTAACAATCACAGTTATCAAATAAGAAATAACATTTGAAATTTAGGTTTCAACGATCCGAAGAGTTAGAATCTTGAATTGTTTACCATCTATAGATTTAAACTCTTATTCACCAAACCACTCATAGTTTCAAATTTGTATTCATGAGCTAATCAGCAAACAGATGTGTAGTTCTAACTCCTACGGCCATCTTTAGTGATTAGATCCTAAAGTCTAAAATTTGAGGCTATAATTCAAATTCTAGCCCCTCAAAAGGTGTTTTGGCATTAGTAGTGTGTTCCAAAATTCCAAATTTCCAGATTTGCGCTTTAACTCATAATCCAGTTTTGTATATATTTCATCATTCTAATTACAAAATTTGTTTATTAATTTTATATAGGTACTAATAATTAATTAAGATGAACATTTCAACAAAATTTTTTTGAATTTTGACAAAAAAAATTATTTATAAATATGACTTAATTAATGACGGTCTCTTGTTTGGACCAAAAGAGCCGTTGGAGGAGATTGTGGGTGCTAAAAGGTAAAATTGTTTCTTTTTTTTATGGGTTAATTGTATGGTTGGTCACTGAGTTTACAAAAAACGTTCATGTTTGGTCACTCGAAATATTTAAATTCATTAGTGGTCACTCGAATCAGTTAAATGGTTCAAGATTAGTCACTCTCCGTTAGTCTCCGTCAGTTTCCATTAACACCGTCAGTCAATTGCTGACGTGGTTAATAGAAGTGCTGACTCACCCAGTTTTAACCCGCCACATCACCAAACCCGACCCGCCACATCATCTCTCCAACCCAACCCTTAGCAATCTTGACCCAATCCTCCACCTCCAAAACCACCGCCGTCACCAGACAATCGCTCACTGCCTCCAAAAATTACATCCTCCCTCATACATCGCCATTCTCATCTCCTTGCCGCAGATAACCCCCTGCCAATCATTAATTCCAATCCCCTCCAGCCAAAATCGAACCCAAAAAATCCCTCCATCCCCCAATTCCTTGTTCCCTCCCACAACCAAATGGTTCTTCCCACAAACAACTCCTCCTCCTCGTTCACTTCTGATCCTCTGTCATCCTAGTCGTTAATGCACGGCTCGATCTCAACCGCTCCTACCTCCGCGCCATCTCCGTCATTGGCCGAGACTTGGGAGTCAACGCTCAACAACGCAACACCTCTGTCTCCCCCTGCAACCTCCCCGACCTCTTCTGCGAGCGTCGCGTCTCTCCTGCCTCTGACGACCACTCCTACGAGCTTTGAATCACCAGGCCGGTCTTCAAATCCCAGTCACTCTCCGACAATCGGTCGGCTGACGAAAGGTTGCATCACCTCCGACATCTCGCTTCAGTTTTAGGGTCGCCTGTCGTGGTTCACCAGTGAGTCTCGTTCTAGTCCAACAAGTCCATAAGGAGGAGGCAGGCGAGCGGATTCACGGAATCTTCCGGGATTCAATCGAACGTTGGGCGACACCATCTCCATTGCTAGCCGGTCACGGGAGAAGAATTTGGCTTGGATCTGGAGCAACTCGGCTTGAATCCAAAGAACTCGCTCCGTCGTGGCCAGAGTCTCTTCCAAAGAGCTCGTTCCACTTACTCCGCCGCCAATCACATTGCACGACAACCCGATGTGGAGCAAGAAGCCTAGGGTTTCCTCTTTGGGATTATGGCGAAGCTTATTGAAAGAAGAGAGAGAGAGGGAGAAGAAGAGAAAAAGGCCAGCGATCTGGAGAGAGAGAGAGAGCTTTGTTGCAAGCAGTGTACAGTCGAAGAGTGGAGGCGAACGGTGGAGGTCCTTGAGACCTTGACAGAAGGTAGGGGAGGGATTTGATGAGTAGCGATGAGTTGAAGATTGGGATATTTTGGGTTGGGCAAGTCCGGTTATGGGTGGATTGGGTTGTATGACGTGCCAGGTTAGCTTTTAATTTTTTCTGAATAAAATTAGCTGATTAGGCACTTCTGTTAGCCACATCAGCAAAATATTGACGCCGTAACGGGAACTAACGGAAGGTAACGGTCAGTGACCAAACTTGAACCGTTAAATTAATTTCAGTGACCACGAATGGAATTAAATATTTTTAGTGGCCAAACATGAACCTTTTTAGTAATCTTAGTGACCAACCTTGCAATTTACCCTTTTTTTATTATTAAAACTCTTTTTAGAAGGTGGACCCGTATGCTTTTCTCCCATGTGGTCACACTTTCTTTTAGAACTTTTTCTCTTTTTCTGGGCCAAATTTGGACCCAATTTTTGAATCAATTTTTGGCATTTTGAAACCTTGCTAAAAGTCTGGTCCAATTTTTTGGAATTCCGGTCCAGCACTAAAATTGGACTAAGGATATTGGCTAAACTAATGACGTTACAATTTTAGCAGGCCTAGCTAGGCTTACGCGAAAGCCCAAATTGGGCCCAATATTTGCCTTCGTGGCTCGCTCAAACAGCCGCTGGCAAAAGTCTCGAGAAGCTTCTACCTTTCCCAAAAGCCAAAACCCTGAGGCTAACCCTCATATCTCTCCGGAACCTTCCAAAACCCTCAGAAACCCTACAAGAACTGCGAACGATCCCCCTCTGGTCATACCTCCAAATACCAACTTCTTCCTCACTCTTCTGCTCTGCGTTTGAGAACCATGCACAGGCTATCGAGGCGTCCAGCCGTCTCCTCAATCCTCCGTGCTAATGGCTCCCGTTACCGGAGCGCTGCCGCAGCTCAATCTCCGGCCTCCTCTTTTCTCTTGACTAACTCGGTACGCACTGTTGATAAGTCCTGAAACCTCTCTGCAATCTGCATTCTGCTTGCTTGTTTGAATATTCTCTGCTTCTGCTAGCAGCTACATATGAATGGAGTGGGGATTAGGATTGAGATAATAGGTTTGAATCTTAGGTTGTTATTGATTTAGGGTTGTTTCACGACTGACGATATTGAGAAAGGGGAAGTTGCTGAACCAGTTGTTTTTATTGCTTTACAGGGAGTGGAAGGCGATACCAGTAACAAGTGGTACTCCGTTTTAACTGGAGGCTCGTCACTCAGTGGAACCGGGTCTGCTCTTAGGATTCAATTGCCCAATGGCATGCTATTGAGCAAACGGTATGAGTCCACGGCGGCAGAATCTGACGCATCGTCTCCTCCTCCGACCGGGGAGAAATACGAGTATCAAGCTGAGGTATGTTCATTGATATGATAGAGGCGAATTGTTTCGTACCGTAGAGTTGTGGTGTTCATGATGTGTATTGTTTTTGACAGGTCAGTCGTCTGATGGACCTGATTGTCAATAGCTTGTACAGCAACAAAGAGGTTTTCCTTCGTGAGCTTATTAGGTATGATGATCTGGCTGGCTTATACCATTTCTTATTTCCCATCCTGCTGTTATCGCCGTCTGGTTGTAAAAGTTTTTGATTCCTTTGACAGCAATGCGAGTGATGCCTGTGACAAGCTGCGCTTCCTGAGTGTTACGGAGCCAGCACTGTTGAAGGACAATGTTGATTTTGACATCCGTATTCAAACAGATAAAGACAATGGGATTGTAACTATCACGTAAGAAGACTTTTGGAACCCTGTTGGCAATTCTTTTCATTTGTCTTGTTCTTGAGTTCAACCATGGTTGCCTTTGTTGCAGTGATACAGGCATTGGTATGACAAGACAAGAGCTAATTGATTGTCTTGGAACTATCGCACAGAGTGGTACTGCCAAGTTTCTCAAGGCATTGAAGGTGAAGTGGATAGTTATGAGAAATATGATTTCATGATTCTTGTTCCTTTTAGGCCTGCCTAATTATTTGGATATATGTTCTTCACAGGATAGCAAGGATGCTGGTGGTGATAACAATCTAATAGGTCAATTTGGGGTCGGTTTTTACTCTGCCTTTCTTGTTGCGGATCGGGTATGGTGTCCAAATCCCTTTCCCCAACATTGAAACCTTGAAAGAGAACTCTTTTCAAACTTGTTTTCTGATGCATCTTTAAAATGTTTGAAGGTTGTTGTCTCAACCAAGAGCCCAAAATCAGACAAGCAGTATGTGTGGGAAGGAGAAGCAAATGCTAGCTCCTACACGATAAGAGAGGAAACAGAAGCAGATAAGGTCATTCCCAGGGGAACCCGACTTACTTTGTATCTCAAGGTATGTATTCCTGTTTTCAAGTGCTTTTCTGAGCGTAAATTATTATTTGACCTCCATTCTTGCATCCTCTCTTTCCACATTTAGAGCTTGCCTCATTTCTTACCGTGTCTCTTTCTTCTTTCAGCGCGATGACAAAGGTTTTGCACACCCAGAAAAGATACAGAAGCTTGTCAAGAACTACTCACAGTTTGTATCCTTCCCTATCTACACCTGGCAGGAAAAGGGATACACAAAGGAGGTTAGTTTCTCAGCATGGTTTAGCTCTAAATATTCTACTTTGACACACTCTCCTCCACTTAAGTAAGTTGGAGAAAGTAGATTGCAATATGTGATTGTGATCTTCATACTTCTCTGCTGTATAGTATTGACCATGTTGTGGATGTGCTATAGGTTGAGGTTGATGAGGATCCAGCTGAGGCCAAAAAGGATGGAGAAGAGGGTTCAGCTGAGGTATCTATAGGTTTCTAATTACGCACACACTTTTGAGTTGAGATTGTTGCTTACTAATTGGCATCACTTGACATCTATGTGCAGAAGAAGAAGAAAACTAAAACAGTTGTAGAGAGATACTGGGACTGGGAACTTACTAACGAGACCCAACCAATATGGGTCAGTTCAAGTACTTGCGATAGCAATATCTTGACCGGTACGCTGATGTGCTTGCTTCTCAAGAAATATTCTTACATTGCCCCCTTGATGTTTGTTTTGTAGCTTCGCAATCCTAAGGAAGTTTCTACTGAGTTGTACAATGAATTTTACAAGAATACATTCAATGAATACTTGGAGCCGTTGGCATCTTCTCACTTTACTACTGAGGTAATTACGATAAGAACTCCCCCGCAAATTTTAACTCTTCAAGTAAATGTCAGTTTCATATGTTTTAACATCGATGATTGGAAAATTCCTATCTGACTAAAATTGAACAGTGACCTTCTGAAATTTTGTACTTGTTTGTTTTACAAGTAAAATTGAGCTTTTGGAGGCTTTTCTTTCAGGGGGAGGTGGAGTTTAGGTCCATCCTTTATGTGCCAGCTGTGTCATCAAGTGGAAAGGATGATATGGTCAATCCCAAGACCAAGAACATCAGGCTTTATGTGAAAAGGGTCTTTATCTCTGACGACTTCGATGGAGAATTGGTGAGAACAGGCTACGTGATTTGAACAAATTCCTCTATTGCATTATTAAGTTATCCTTTGTCACTGATACTCTTCTTTTTCCTTGTTATTTAGTTCCCTAGATACTTGAGCTTTATCAAGGGTGTGGTGGATTCCAACGACCTTCCTCTGAATGTTTCAAGGGAGATTCTTCAAGAGAGTCGCATTGTATGTTCATTTCTAGCCACCTATTATACGTTTATAAAGTGGTCCATTCTGTACTTATGTTTTCTAATGTTATGTTGCTGTGTTTGAAGGTGCGGATAATGAGGAAACGCTTAGTTAGAAAGGCATTTGACATGATTTTGGGCATATCCATGAGCGAAAATAGAGAAGTAATTCTCTTGTACCCTTTTCTTTTCCAATTATGTGCTGTGATTGTTTCCATTTGCTTCTAGTATCCTTGTTTCACTTTTTACCATATACATTCTGGGTTACTTGACAGGACTATGAGAAGTTCTGGGACAACTATGGCAAATATCTGAAATTAGGTTGCATTGAGGACCGTGAAAACCACAAGAGAATAGCACCCCTTCTCCGCTTCTTCTCCTCACAGAGCGAAGATTACATCATTGGCCTGGACGAATATGTGGAGAACATGAAACCAGACCAAAAGGATATCTATTACATTGCTTCCGACAGTGTGACAAGTGCAAAGAACACCCCTTTCTTGGAAAGACTTATGGAGAAGGACTTGGAAGTACGTGCTTCATATCATAATAGTTGAGTGATTTTTTGATTGGTCAGCTGGGGTGCAACCTGGTTGACTAATAATGTCTTTGTTTTGCAGGTCCTCTTCTTGGTTGATCCTATTGACGAGGTTGCCATCCAGAATTTGAAATCTTACAAGGAGAAGAACTTTGTCGATATCAGCAAGGAAGACTTGGATTTAGGTGAGTGTTTATCTCTCATTGCTCACGTCAATTAACTGAACGGAACAGTACAACTAAGAGTTCCTATTTGCATTGTGTCAGGTGAAAAGGATGAAGAGAAGGAGAAGGCAATGAAGCAAGAGTTCGGGCAAACTTGTGACTGGATCAAAAAGCGCCTGGGTGACAAGGTAGCCAGTGTGCAAATCTCGAACCGACTTAGCACCTCCCCCTGTGTTCTTGTATCTGGGAAATTCGGTTGGTCAGCTAACATGGAAAGGTAATAACAGCCTTCTTGGTGCCGTAATCTGTGGGGTATAATATTTTATAATGATTTCTTGTTGGCTTTGATTATTTTAGGTTGATGAAGTCCCAGACAATGGGTGACACGTCGAGCCTGGAGTTCATGAGAGGCAGAAGGGTGTTTGAGATCAATCCTGAGCATCCAATAATTAGGAACCTGAATGCAAGGCCCTAACTCTCTCGCTCACTCTTTGTCTTGTATATTCTATCGGTGTTTTCTCACTTTTTCTTTGGGCAGGCTGCTTGCTCAGGTAACCCAGATGATGAAGATGCGCTGAGGGCGATTGATCTTCTGTACGATACAGCTTTGGTTTCCAGTGGTTTCACTGTAAGTACAAAGTTCTCTTGGGCAGCTGCTCCCTTGGAATTCGGAGAATAAGAGTGCTTTCTAATGCATAGGAATTTCTTTGTGCAGCCGGAGAACCCAGCTCAGCTAGGCAGCAAGATCTACGAGATGATGAACATGGCTATATCTGGGAAATGGTCTGCCCCAGCTGCTGAGTACGTTCCGCAGCAGGACCATCAGCAGCCTGCGTTCTCTCAGCCGCAGAATCAAGAACCGATGGAGGCCGAGATCGTGGAGCCAGTTGAGGCTGGCAACCATAAGCAATGAGGAGAAGCGATGCCATGTATCCTCCCATTTTCCTACTTCCTAGTACTTTCGTGATGGGGACTTGGAAATTAGAGCATATAGAAGAGACATAAGAGGCGAGGCGAGCGAGAAAATTTGATTGTTTCATGAAAATAACTCTACATTGTTAGCGGTTGGTTTCTTTGTTAATGATCAGGACTTGGAAATTAGAGCATAAAGAAGAGAGATATGAGGCCGGGCGAGGAAAATTCATTGTTTCATGAAAATACACTCTACATTGGGTTGAGCCACATTGTTAGTTCGTTGGTTGCTTTGTTAATAATCGATTTGGAGTGGTTGCCTCTTATTCGTAGCTTATAGTATCTGTTCTTTGGGTTGAAAAAGAGAAGGAAATTTCTCAAGGAAACTTTTATGATACAAATTGAACCTTTTGTAATACTGAATTTTTATCATACCAACATGTTGTTTAATATAAAGTTTGATTTTTATTTTCATGTAGTGTTAACAATCATAGTTATCAAATAAAGAACATTTTAAAATTTATGTTCAATAATCCCACGAATTAAAATTTGTAGATTAATAACAACCTATAGATTTTAAACTCATATTTTCCAAACGATCCCTAAATTAATAATATATTGTTAGTACCGTAGACTTAATATTACTATATTAGCCTAATTAATCATTAAAGTAGGCGATGACCTAGTAGCAAACCAATATATGTTTCCCTACTTTAATCAAATCCCACTGGCCGCAAATTTAACATCGTCTGTTCATTAATAATAGTAAGAATGTTAATTACAATTATAATCATAGTTATAACTTATAATTAATGACAATACAAGAAATTGAAAATGATGAAAATATCACTAAACTCTGCCATATATTATAGGTGATTGGAAATGGTCTTAGGCCTTATATATAGGGGTGCTCAAACTGAGTGGTTACTGTGGTAACCGTTTTAACTAGTACAATTTGGATAATTTGGTTTGGTTAATTTGGATATATGGTTTGGTTTAGTTAAAAAATTTAGCTTGTTTGGTTTAGTTGGTATGGGTTCAGACACTCATAATCAATGAAACCAAACTAACCAGTTAAGTAATTAGCAATATATCTAATATACATTATATACACATTTAATACTTTGCATAGTCACCCAAGACTCAAACGTTTCTCTCTTTTAGGCTCGTAAAAAATTAAGTTCAATATTCTTCCTATGTAGTATATTTGTATTTGTAGAGTTAGACCACAACATATGGACTTCTAATTTAGTTAAAACTCATACATTATGTTGGATGAAAACTTGAACAAATATTTTATTCAACCTATGATAATTGCTAATTGAATTCACACAAACACAACAATTCATTAACTCCATACCATTGCATATAATTTTGTTAGGTGAATACTTCTATTGACTTTAAGATAATTGTATTGGTTGCATGTATTTGTATTAATGGTTAACTATAACTATGTGTTGATTATTATGTTTTCATTATATAAGTTGTGAATCGATACAATAATCAAAAAAATTTCTCACTCAATAATGATAATATGATTTTATATTGTTAATCCGGTTAGCAATTAACCAAACCGATTAAACGTTGATTTGGTTAATTTAGCTGTTGCATTAGTTTGGACGGTTTGGTTATGATATCGTATTCCATGATTAATATAATTTACACTTATTTGGTTTGGTCATTATTATGGTAACCATTTCAACACCCTACTTACATATAAACAATCATCCATTGACACACTGTTTCGCAGGCACAAACCATATAATGCTTTCATATCCAACCAACCAAATAAATAATAATAGGGTAAATTGCAAGTTTGGTCACTGAGATTACAAAAAACGTGCATGTTTGGTCACTACAAATATTTAATTCCATTTGTGGTCACTTGAATTAGTCAAACAGTCCATGTTTGGTCACTCTTTGTTAGTCTCCGTCAACACCGTCAATCATTTGCTGACGAGGCCAACAAAAGTGTTTGCTCACCCTATTTTAACCCGCCACATTACCAAACCCGACCCGCCACGTCATCTTGCTCAACCCATCCCTTGAACCCAACCCATGAGCAGACCCCAACTTATTGAGCCACCTCACCTCTCCAAATCTACTATATCTCTCATCTCGCCGGAGATTGGGAGGGTTCCAGAACTTGTTGGTGAGAACAGCCACTTTCACAGGGTCATATTGCTAGATTTAGTATTTGCGGAAGGAAAACTGATTATTGCATAAAACGGTAGGTAGTTCAATTACACTGGTCAGTCTTTATAGTGTTCACCAAGTACCTATACAAACTACTAATTACAATAACTACCCTGAAAACAACAAAATTACATTTTGTACTATATACTCTATCACCCCCCTCAAGCTGGAGCATGTATATCACACATGCCCAGCTTGCCTATCAATTCTAAAAACCTATGTATCGGTAGTGATTTGGTAAGAACATCGGCAAGTTGGCTGTCAGTGGAGATGTAGAACAACTTGATGAGACGGGCTGCAATTTTCTCCCGGATGAGATGGCAATCAATCTCAATGTGTTTCGTGCGTTCATGCGCCACTGGGTTCTCTGCAATTCTAATGGCAGAAGTATTATCACAGTATAAAGCAAAAGGATCAGCAAATTTGACATTGAGATCATTGAACAAGTAACACAACCATTGTAATTCACAAGACACATCAGCCATTGCTCGATATTCTGCTTCTGCAGAAGATCGGCTGATTGTAGTTTGTTTCTTGGAACGCCAGCTAATTAGTGATTTACCAACAAAAATACAAAAACCAGTAGCTGACCTGCGAGTGTCAGGACAACCAGCCCAGTCTGAGTCTGAAAATGCAGACAAACTGATAGCTGAATCAGATGGGAAAAATAGGCCTTTCCCAGGATTGTTCCTAATAAATCGAAGTAATCTATTTGCAGCATTCATGTGCAAATCAGTAGGATTAGCTACAAACTGAGTGAGATGATGCACATCATATTGAATGTCAGGTCGTGTAGTACCAAGGTTGTCAACCCGCGGGTTGACCCGGACCCGATCGAGCTAGTGGGTCAAGGGTTAATGGGTCAACCGTTTTAGTCCGGTTTGGCCCGGAAATATGGAAAGAGTCATTATATTGTACTTATCCTTATAAATGATATCAAATCTTATCTAACATATGAGTTATAACATATAATATTGCACCAAAATAACATATTGTACTTAGATCTAGCATAAAGTGAACATTCGCACACACTTATATATATCAATATTCAAATATTCAACTTAGGATTCCAAAGATTGAGTTAGGCGAAAAGAAAAATTGGAAAATATGCGCATTTCGCAAAACCAAAGAAAAAAAATGACACAATTTGACCTTCAACCCGGTACCTTATAGCGGTCGACCCGGCGGGTGTGTGCGGCTCGTTTTTCTCAGCGGGTCAGGGTCAAAGTGGGTCGACCCGCGGGTTGACAACCTTGTGTAGTACACAAGTATAATAATCTACCAATTAACCTTCTATAAGGAGAGGGATCATAAAGTGGTTCACCAGAAGTAGTAGAATATCGAATATTCGGTTCAGAAGGTGATTCTGCAACTTTCCCAGCAAGCAAACCAACATCTGCAATAATATCTAAAGCGAACTTTCTTTGACACAAAGTTAGTCCTTTAGAATTTCTAGCAATTTCTAATCCAAGGAAATAACGTAGAGGTCCTAAGTCTTTAATCTTGAAAGTAGCATCCAGTTTAGACTTAATGGACTTCATTTCTAACAAATCATCTCCTGTTAATATCACATCATCAACATATACTAACAAAGCCAAAAACTTAGAATCAGATTGTTTTGTAAACAGAGTATGATCTGCCTTGGATTGAACAAATCCATTGGCTAATAAAAACTCAGTCAGTTTTGAATTCCACTGTCTACTTGCTTGTTTTAGACCATAAAGTGATTTGATTAGACGACAAACAAGTCTTTTGATGTCAACAGGAGGAGTTAAACCTTGAGAGATTTTCATATAAACTTCTTCCATAAGATCCCCATGTAAAAACGCATTATTTACATCTAATTGCTCAATAGCCCAGCCCTTGACAGAGGCTAAAGCTAATAAAGCACGAACAGTAGTCATTTTAGCAACAGGAGAAAAATTTTCTGAGTAATCTATGCCCTTAGTTTGTGTATAACCTTTAGCTACTAATCGAGCCTTAAACCTCTCTACAGATCCATCAGCCTTATATTTAATTCGATACACCCATTTGAAACCTATTGCTTTATGAGAAGAAGGTAAAGAAGTTACCTTTCAGGTATTAGTTGCTGCTAAGGCATCAAGTTCAGCTTGCATAGCTGCCACCCAACGTGGATCCTTGATAGCCTCTTCATAGCAAGTGGGTTCAATTTCCTTAGTCACATTCATGACAAAGCTCTTGTAACCTGCAGCTAAATTGTCATAAGAAAGAACTTTGGAAAGAGGGTGAGTAGTATTAGTGGATGTAGCCACTGTTGAATGACAAACAAAGTCCTTGAGTCTAGCAGGAGGCTTTGTTTGTCTTTGTGGCCTTCCAGCAGGAGTTGGAGCATTACTATTGGGTATTTGCAAAGGAATATGTACAGGATTATTGACCTGCAACATTCCAGAAGAAGGAACAAAAGGGGAAACACTAGAGGGGCTAGGTTCTATGAGAAGTTCAAAGTTTGGGAGAGTTAACTCAGAATCAGAGGAAGGTGATGAATTTTTGTAAGGAAAGATATGTTCATGAAACACAACATCCCTAGATTCAATCTGTCGGTTGGTATTTAAGTCAACTAGTTTAAACCCTTTGGTGCCAAAAGGATAACCTAGAAATACACATGGAGTTTCCCTTGGTTCAAGTTTTGGACGATTATGACTGAGAGTACTAGCATATGCTAAGCAACTGAAAACTCTAAGGTAAGCCAGATCAGGGGGAGTGCCCTGAAGAAGTTCTAAGGGAGATTTATTCTGTGTTAAAGGTGAAGGGATGCGATTGATGAGATGAGTAGCATGAAGAATAGCATGACCCCAAAATAAAATGGGAAGAGAAGCCTGGAATAGGAGAGCCCTAGAAACATTGACTATATGCTGCAATTTTCTTTCTACCCGACCATTCTGTTGGGAAGTTTGAACACAAGAAGTTTGATGTAAAATACCCTTGGAGTTATAGAAACTTGGAATATTAAATTCCTGAGCATTATCTGTTCTTATCACTTTAACAGTCATGGCAAACTGAGTGGATACATAAGAACAAAAATTTATAAGAATTTCCCTAGCTTCAGACTTGTGTTTAAGAAGATAAACCCAAGTTACTCTAGTGTGATCATCCACAATAGCAAAGAAATATCGATGACCATCAATAGTTGGTTCCTTATAAGGCCCCCAAACATCACAATGAATCAAATCAAATGGAGATGCACTAACAGAATCACTA